AATTGGGATTATCATTATACAGTAGATAAAATAGCTAGCCATCGAATGGATTACAAATGTGGTTCAGCTAAATATGGTCGTTGAGTTCTCTAATCTTTGACCATAATTAAATAAAGAACAAAACATATGTCGTAGAATAGTGCCTTTTTTGTCTTGTTTTTTCTTGGAAAGTGAGGAGGACAAAAAAAAACGAATTTCAACATATGTATGTGATTATTATTTGGTTTTTTTATGCTTCATTGATTCCTTAGATGGATTTATCAAAGGATAAATAAAGTTTTTGTTGAACAAAATAAAAATCTTAAATTTTGAAATAAATCTCTAGAAAGTCTTCTTTATCTTTTAATTAGAGTGATTCATCTTGGTTTCAACATTTTAATACAGAATTAAGTGAAGAAACAATATTAGCTTATTTTTATCAAATAGGAAATCCATTTTATAATCGATTGAGTTTAAATGAACAAATTTATATGAAAAGTCTTCGAAAAATTGAAGCAATAGTACAATCAAATCAATTTATTTTATTGAAATTTTTCTTTGTTTCTGATAGTTAAATGCAATCGGAATTAAATCTAGACTTATAAACCGACAAGATCTAGCCTTGTATATATTATTCGAAAACATTTTCGTGAAGAACCAAATGAAAGATAAGTATTATCCTTGTGAAACATTTTTTTTATGTTAAAGAATATATGATGTTGGTTAACTCGATGTTCTATTTGGAGTAATAAAGTATCGAATCGATATGATGGTTGCATATTATGAGTATAATGTATTTCAGAATAGTTTTTTAAAAATTTCTTAACTATATATATGGGCGTGGCCAACCATAGGATGCCCCGACCCTTATTTGCTTATACAGCTTCACACAGGTGTCGAAAAAGTTTGATTTTTTTATCAGTTGTAGTACATATGTGATGCTGTCGATCTGTCATAGCTAGGCCCCTACATGTCATTGATCCAAAGAATTACCCTCTGTTCCGTTTCAACTGGTTTTATCGAACTATTCCACATATGATTTGTGAACATTTACTATTTTTTTAACAAAAGATGTAAATCAAGATAAAGCCACTAGCAACGACAGAGTTTTGGTATGAAATGATTGTTCAAAAGTAACTACTTTCCATGCTTTTTATTTACGGACTGGATGTTTATTTAAGTTCATATTACATAGAGCAGAAACAACTTTTGTAATTCTAGTCATCTTGTGAAAATCATCGATATCTCCTCTGTAAACACCACCAAGGATACCATAGGTTTTAAGACGTTGATTAATATTTTCAATTGCTGCTCTAGCGCTATTAATTTCATAATTGAACTCCTTATCTTCGTTGGTTAATTCACGTCCATGAGGTTTCTTTCTAGGAGTCACCACATATTCTTCACCAATATATCCTTTGTCGCCAATAATTTGCACGGAGTCATTTACATGTTCTAACAGACCTGACTCTCTTAGAATTGTAATATCGTGCACACTTCCATGATAACAGTCGGATACATGCACTATTTGATGATGAAAATCGCAAGCTACTTGTACTTTAAAAGCATAATTTGTTGGACTTTTTCCATGGTAATATGCTCGACGCTGCTCTGCTTCATATGGTTCAGGAATTGCAATGCAAGTCGAATCAACTATTAATTTATGATGTTGTTGAGGTCCATGTAGTGTTCTTCTATTACCTATGTCAGCAGGTATTGAAATTAATTCTGGATATACACATGCATGTAAAATGTTCACGACCTCTGACAAGAAATAGTTAACTGTTGATCGATTTAAATTCAATTCACTACTAATATATCGTTCAGAATGATAATGCTTTAAGTACCATAACGTCACCACTAGTAAATTCATAGGAGATAAAAGTGGTGTGTTCGCATTATTTGATTGTTCCTTGGTTCTATGCAAGCAATAATCTATAAGTGCTTGTTCACACATCGAATACAACTGATGCACTTGTTCGATATCATGTCCTGTGTGTTGTTTACATGATTCATCGCTGCATCTCCATTCTGACCATGGACGTTGTTCTACAAAACATGAGCAAATATAATCAAATGTGAAGTGCAAATCTAAATCAAATCAATGAATTTTACTCACCATCATTTAGAGTTCGAAACTGTTGAATAGCAGCGTGTTTTTCTTCCACTTTCTGTGGTTTGTCTTCAAGTTCAGACGAACAATAAATACAATTGTTATGATGTCGATGATAATTCGCGTACAATCCGGATTTTCCCGAACCGGTGCATGTCCATGTTAACATCGAATGACAATTTTCACAGTATTTTCTACGATCAGCAGTGGCAGATCGGCATTGAGAACAACTCCACTCAATTTGTAAAGAAAACATATTCCAAATATGTAATATTTGTACTTGTTAGCTTTTCGTATGTTATCCAAAGTCTCCTGCACACGTTTTATCCGTAAGCGGGAAGATAACTACAGAAAAGTGTTTGGTCTGTATATGGTCTGAGGTATCACACGTAAAAGGAAAACTGCCTATCTGAATAATATAACTTGCAATATGGGAAATGATAGTTGAGATGTAGGTAGTTCAGGGTTTAGTGATGATAATAATAAAATATAGCCATGGACAAAAGGAAAAGGACAAGATCATAGAAGTAGGAGTAATAATAAGAGAGAGGAAAAAATAAGGTTTATGATAAGTGAGGGGAAGAGAGAGAAAAGAGACGTTGTTCAGAAGGATGAACTATAACAACAAGATAATCAACTATTCACTAGATAGAAAAACGATCAACTGACCTGGAGAAAAACTTGTTCATAAAGTTGAACGAGAGAGAGACAGAACGAAAAAAGAAAAATCAAATTATAGAACGAACGAAAGAGAAAATCCAATTAACTACAGAACGAAAAGGAAGACGCTGACAAATGAAAAAAAAGAAGAAAACCAATTGAACTTCGTTCAATTAAGTTAGCGTCGACATAGTGTCATCTGTTGACGCTAACAGTACTCGAACGAAGAGTATTAAAGAAAGAGAAGAAAAAATAAGCGCGAAGAGAATAAAGTTGTGGTTAGAAAAAGGATAGAGCGATTGAAACGCTAGATACAGTAGAATGAGTGAAAACTTATGGTACACGAAATTTACACTGGAAAGAAAAAGAAAAAAATCATTTGTCTCGTGTGCCAGTTAGACGACGATGAGCGTCCACGTAAGCATCATATGTGAATCATGAGAAACATGCATCAAAAGGAAATTAAGTAAAGAAAAATATAACTAGTTACAGTGATGCATATTAACAAATTACACGTGGAAAAGTTCGATAAAACCAGTTGAAACGGAACAGAGGGTAATTCTTTGGATCAATGACATGTAGGGGCCTAGCTATGACACATCGACAGCATCACATATGTACTACAACCAAGGGGGAAACGGCGGACTTGAAGTAGAAAAGTACGTCAAAGTACGTCAAAGTAGACTACTTGAAGTAGCTCAAAGTACCACCCAAGTAGCCCAAAGTAGGAACAAGTAGCTTAAAGTAACTTCAAATAACTTCAGGTAAATTTGAAGTTGAAAAATACTTCAAAGTAAGCTACTTCAAGTAGCTGAAAGTAACTTGAAGTAGCTTAAAGTAGCTCAAAGTAACTTCAAGTCCAAAAGTCCGCCGTTTCCCCCTTGACTACAACTGATAAAAATATCAAACTTTTTCGACACCTGTGTGAAGCTGTATAAGCAAATAAGGGTCGGGGCATCCTATGGTTGGCCACGCCCATATATATATATATATATATATATGTAAAAGCAACATTTTTCATGACAAATTGGGTCATACTTGAGATCCATTCGTAATGAGTGACATAAAAGACGGGTTTTGCCAGATTTATGTTTTCTTCGACATAAGCTCATAAAATAATACAATTTTCATGATAAACACTTTATTAGAACGATAAAAGATAGAAATGAATGATTTGGAATTGGAATCAGAATCAACGATTTCATATTATATAGAGAACATGAAGACAAACAATTCCGATACAATGCTGGAATTGGAAGATCTGACTTTAACCTAAATATAATTTTCTTTGCAGATGTCCCATCATATATCATCCTTTGTAATATGACTCATTTTTCAAAAAATAGCTCACGATAAGTAACTCTTGAACTTTATACAAATAAAATAGCAATATAACTACGAACAAGTCAAATTAACTGTAAATTCAATTTTTATGGTATTCAAGACGAATGAGTCATTTTAGAATCATTCTGCATGTCCACAGTGAAATGACGTTGCTCACATTGAACTACACCGTTGTTATAATTAGCACCTACAGAAATTGTTTTCATTGTTGTCTCAACACTAAATCTATTGAATGAGTGCTGGAGATAAAGGATTAAGCAAGATTTAGCATCGCAGTATAATAACATTTCATTTTTCAAGTTGTGTCGTATATTCAGAAAATCAAGAATGTGATAAATTTTGAAACTAATAAACGTCTTCATCTTATGTAGAGATGAACATGGAAATGTGATATTACTGTGACAGATAAGATTTTTCCCACGACGTATGAGGAGACTTGAGAAAGTAATGCATCTATATCAGAATCGAGATCGATCCATTTCGGTTGAACTTTTAAAATCAATCGATTGTCAAACCAGCTTTTTGTCAATTTTAAAGGTACTGAAGCTAGTCTATTTTATTCTTCATCAAAATTCTAGCTCTAAGTTTTGAACTCACTCTTTTTCATAGTACAATAATGACCACGGATTAGAGTGAATATATTGATTATGGTCACGAAAAGTTAGCTAGTCATTAGATGTTTCCAAATTTCGAGCTCACTTTTTCGACTACTTTTATGTTAAAAAATCATTTCAATTTAAAATTATACTGAAGATGTTTTATATTACAGTTTGCATGGTATTACATTGAAAAATTTATTTTATTTGAGAGCTCGCTATTGGAATACTATTGAATCTGATTGCAAATAAAAACTTATATCTTGGTTCTTAATCATTGAAATTCAAATTTGTATTCTTTTTTATTAAATACTATAATAATGATCTTGAGTTTATATTAATTTGTGATATTTGACAAATCAATTTTTAATCGATTGATAAATCTTCAATTTTTTATTCATTTTTTTGTTTTGTTAACTGCTATTCAACATTTAGGCAAAACTTTCAATGAAGATGATAATTCATATCAAAGAAAATAATCTATTCATTTTAATAGAATTATTTCCTAATTATCATGATTGTTTTTGATTATGAATATCATCTAGAACAACTATACAACATGTAATACCTCGTTCAACAACAAATAACGAAACTGTCGCAATTACTAATGGAGATGCTGATCTTTCACCTATCTATTTTAAAGAAAAAGAAGAAGAGTGTACACCATCTGATTTACAGTTAAATATAAGCGAGTGACCTATGGTTGAAGTTAAGAGACAAAAAACTCAAAAATAGAATTGCGCCTTTTTTTTTCTCTATTGTTGTATATTCAATGGAAAAAGAAAACATGTTCAATATGATATTTGTTTATTGTTAATAGATGAGATGTTCATAAATAAGATTGAAGAATAACAAAAGACTAAAAATTCTAAATGTTTTAATTTTTTTAATTGCATATAAATATTTCAAACGAATTGAATGCAAAATTTTTATTTTATTCTCGTAATTAATGTTGTAAGTAAGAGAGGACTCATTCATAGAACAAAATAAAAATCATTCTTTCATATCTTGATAGTGTTGTGATTTTATATTCATTCTTCTTCAAATTTCAATATTCACAAAGTCTTTTTTTTTTCGTATTCCGTAAACTATAAATGAGAGTCATAAGAACTTTACTAGAAAATTTGTGAATGATTGTTTGTTTATTCTGAATATTTACTATGTTTAACCTTAAGAAAGAATGTTTAAAAGTAAACTATTTAAAATTTTTATAAAATTTATTCTCCATATTTTATTCTACTAACAATTCTATATTACCTTCATTACTCATGTACATGTGTATCGTAGGTTAGTAGTAGTCCATTTGATTTTTTACTTACACTTCGTCAAACAATTTCATAAACAATTAATATTATTGAAAAATCATCTTCATTTTTTGGTCTTGTTTGATATGTTAGTGTTGCATCTGATCACCCTGAAGTAAAACATGTTATACAAATATTTACAACAATAGCTAGAGTATAATTTGATCGTACAAATCGAGCTGTTATAATAGGAATGGGAAATATAGCATTTTGATTGTTCTCAAAATTCTCCTTTCATCTATTGAAGCTTTAGCTAAAACAGATATTACTGATGTAGTAGTGCTGGATAGATTTCATCAAAGTTGTATACGATATGTGATACTTGTCAGTCGACGTGGACTAATCTAAGTATTATCATCTATTATAAAAGAACTTCGTGAACTTATTTAAGCAAAGATTTTAATCGAAAGGATGAAAATATGATTGATAAATTAGAACGACCAAGAAAAAGATTTACCGAGTTAATGTTTAAAATAGTCCGAGCAAGTTTGTATTTTTGAAATTTATTATTTTATCTAGAATAATCAAAAGATAATACTGAACAATTTTTCATATTTATAATTTTTTGGCATCGTCGAAAAAACAATTGTTGAAAATGTTCATTTCAAATATACAAAACCTGTAGCTAGTTATGTCTTTTCTAATGAAAATCTATTCACATCTAACAAAAATGGAACTAAAGAAACAAAATCATATGGTCTTGTCATTAAAACTATAGATTATTATGATATCCAAGTAACAATGAAGAGAAGCTTGTTTTTTTTTCTCATCGAGCTCGAAAATTCATATATTTAATAATCAAAAATGCAGCAGAGTGAGACGGATTATTTCTAATAGAAAGGTTAGAAATGAACAAGATGATTATAATCCAAGTAAAACGTTTAGAGTAGCTATCATGGGTGAGTGAATATGAATGTCATCATGTATGTGAGAGACAGTATGGTCGAACCTAGACGTCATCTTCCTCTATACTATGTGATCTTGAATAAATTATTTAGGACTAGGATGTTGGTTCATTTATTGAATAATATGCTTACTACGTTGTTCCATTTATCTTTGTAATATGTTTTGCTGACATGTTGCTTGTGTTTATATAGTAATTTCTAGTGGATATTTCTATGTCAATTGATCATAGACTAACCGATTTTGAGAAGTCTGACGAAAAAAAGATTCATCATTTGGTAAAGAAATTCTAATCATGTGTAAATTGATCATTTTCTTTCGACACTTCTTTCATTCTTAGAATCTTTCGAATCGACATGAAA